CATGGGTTCAAGGCAATTATACAACTGCAGTGACAGTTACCAAGGTTTGAAAAGTTGGTAACTATAAGGAAGTTGTCCAGGACTCTTACAACTGCTTCCCAAAATCCACTTTTCACATTAATACTTGAATACTTAGCTTTGTGAGATGATGTTACTTTCAAATTATTTGTTTTGATTTGTTTTGGTGAAGTCTATTAATTATTTCTCTTATGCAAAAGTCAAAAGCAGAAGTAGGAAGTAGAGATGGGAAAAGCTGCCCCTTAATATATTATTTAGAGATACCAAAGAAGTCCAGACAATCTGGCCAGCACAATGTGCTGCCAAACTGGACACAGACTGACAAGACTGAGAAAGGCCATTTGACTTGGGAGCAAGTTGGCTCCTTTTACCCTGGAAGGGATTGAGTCAAAAAAGCACCGCTGGGCTGTACTGGCAAAAGCACTCTTACTGTGGATGTAGCTGTATAAACAAACTGCTTTTTCTTAGTCTGTCAAAATTACCTTCTCTTTATATGCCTTAGTTGAAACAACCTCTCTCAGCAAAACCAGAATATTACCAGCGTAACTTTCACCAACTTTCATTGCAACTGCAATGAAACTGCTGCAATAAAAATTAAATCTATAGTAGCTACCATAGTAGCTCTCAACTCAGAGTTATATAATAAATACAGTCCATGAACTCCTTGTGTAGATGAGGGGAGATGCACCTAGTAGGGCGTTTTTTACTTTAGGAATACATTCTCTCTGCTGCTATTACGATGTGTTGGTACAACTTGCTATGCAGCATATTCCAGCATCTACTAATTGTTGTTTACTAGTAGAGCTAATTTACCTACAGGGCATTTTCTTTTCTGTTTTATGATCTCCAGAGATTATTGAAAAGCACCAACACACTCTTACCATTCATTATTAATACTGAAATCTCAAGTTTAGGCTTAGAGAAGGGAGGGAATATTTGGCTTATGGTTTTACTGCATCTGCCCTAAATGGCATTACTAATTTTCTGTTGTTGTCGTTGTCATTTTGCATTCCAGACACTACAATCATTAGACCTACACATTGTGAGTAAAATTCCAGTCCTGACACATACCTGGTATTCAGTTTACTTAAAATTCTTAAGCATGAAGAAAGGGACATAGAGGAATAGAAATGGTGACAATAGATTTTTCCTTATAAGATGATAGCAATAGAGCAGATAAAAATAAACTCTCTGCATGTTCCCTGAGCACAGTGTAAGAAATAATGGGCCTGAATTGTAGGAAAGGAGAGTTAGGAGAATATTCATAGATAGTCTTGTAGGATGGAAGACGAAGACTCCTCCCTCTCCCATCAAAGAAGTTTATGCAAAGAAGTGTGTCGGGGACAGGGGAGGAAAGGCAGAATAAGTCTGTGCCTGTCCAGCTGTTTACAAAAGATGGTGACCAGTGTTACTTGTGAGCAGAGTCCCAGTTGTTGACTATAGTTTGTCTTGAGTTATGAGCTGTTGCTTTAGTAGACATATGGCTCAAGCCAACTATAGGCTCCTTGGACTATACAGAAGGTTACTCTTCTGGTCTGAGCTGTTTCCCTGCCTCTGTCCTGCAGAATACTGGGTGATACCAGGTTCTGTCTCTTCCACTACCTCAGCCAGGCAGGTGTCAGAGATGTATATAGTTCAGATGTTTTACAAACTTATGATATTAATTTGTTTGATTTGAGTAATATGTATGAGATTTTTCCCTATCTGGTACTTCAAGTATTTTTGGAGTGTCTCCAGCAATAGGAATTCCTCTCTAAAAATCTTACCATGTAGCAGAGAGATCTTTCGAATGATCTCTTCAGTGTGTTTTTGTCTGTGAAAGGCAATACAGAGTTTGGTATATAAATTGTGTGTCTCTAAGGTGAACCAGAAGAATCTCCCTCAGAGGTATTGCTAGTTCTTCAGTGCAATCTGTCAGAAGGACAGAACTGCTGCAGAAACCAACAAGAGAATTTTGAAATATCAGAGTAAGAAGTGAAATCAAGAACATTTAAGGAAGTTCCTCTTGTTACGTCTCCTTACTGGGAACAGGTAGAGAAGACAGACAAGTGTAAACCTGTGGACATAGACTGTATCCATTATGTATCACATACTGTACTCTTCATATCTCAAAGAATAAATACATGAGCATTATATTTACAGAGTGGGAAGAGGGTGGAGGAGAACCAAAACATCTCATGCTTTTGTGTGTTTAAAATTTACAAGTAAAATTATTTAAGAAACCAATTTGTCATTCAAGAGGAGTCATGACTATGGATTATGAAGAGCGAATAGCTGATAAAGTATCTTCTATGCATCAGTGTCACGTTGTTCATCCAGCTTCATTTACTATGAACTTCACTGGCTGGTCAAAGTGTAAAAATTAGAAACATTATTTTCAATCTCCTTCAGCTGTAGCATATCACTATGAGCATGTTTATATGTAAACTTCTACAAAAGCTTTCAAGATTCCTAGTTTAATAATTAAAGAGGTTCCCTGATTAATATTAATTTGTCAGGCTGTAGTTTCAGGACCAATTTCATCTGATCTAAGTATGGGCTGCCAGAAGGAGTAGTTCTGTCTTCCCCCTCAGTACCAAAGAGGAAAAAGAGACAGAGGTCTGTTTCTTCTGTCAGAAGTAGTGCTCTGTTCCAACCTGGCTGAAATCTAACCCATGAAAAACATAAACCAGTGCAAAAATAACAGTTTGTTTTCAAACAAATTGCAGTTTCATCCTGTGCTGGCATAAGGGTCAGGGAGAGGAAGCAGAGCTGGCAACAGGGGCAAGGGAACCAGTGGAACCTCCCTTTTCCTACATTTAGCTCATCATAATCTGAACTGCAACCTCATGTTTCCACTGCATTTAAAAACACATTTACTGTCCCTGTTGTGTTGGTAAAATACACAGATATCTATTTATTTCTATTGACATACCTATTTAATAGTTCCTTGTGGGACAGTTATAGCAGTGCTTGGATGCTCTCCCCAACTGGATATATTTAGAGCAATGTAATACAACTTTATGCTACTATAATATTAAGAACCTCTGATTAAGTTATTTCCCAATGTTTTAATTAATGCCATTCTTCCAAAACCAAGGGCTACAAAAGGATTAGTTTTAAAATAGGTTTAGTTACTGCAGCTTGTGGGTTATCTGTTAAAGCAAATAAAGCTCTATATGTTATCAGCAATGTGAATAAAATAATGCAAAGTTCACTCTGCATTTCTCTCTCATAAAATTCTTTCCTTGCTGCCCTGGCGTCTCTTGTCTGTCTACTCACTGTTCTACAAGTTTCCCTCCCTGTCTCTGATTTTGTGGTTATTTGAGAGCTTAACTTCAGAGGGGTGGGAGGGGTTGTTGCTGCTGTGGTACAAAAGCATGAAAAGCAGGTATTTTTAAGGGTTAAGACCTGATGGCAGATCCAAGTAATGCAGGTCCAAACAAATTCCAAACTGCCAGAGGCCAGCTTTGTATCCCCTACTTCTTTGTAGTTGAACATGGGCTCTGAACCCTGGATTTAGCTAAACCAACTGTGGTTTTCTTCCGCCATCCCCCTTTGCTCCTCATAGGCCAGTAGGCTGAACCCAAAATATTATTTTTAAACTACATATCCATGAAAAGTGAAACTCTTTATTCTTCAGACCTGCAAAAAACTAGCTTCTTTGAAAGTGTTCATTGGGATAGTGTCATATGGGATGGTAGTTTCCTATCCTCTTATATCTGTTCTTGTTTTCATGCGTTACCTCTCTGCTCTCTTGCATTTTTCACTTGTTTGAGCCCTTTCAACTGAGTGGGATGCTTGCTATCTTTCTCCTTCCTCTCTGTAATTTATTTCTTTCCAAGTCTGGATCACCTCCATATTTCTCCTGTTGTCTCTGGGTCTATTTTGTTTGGAGCAGATGCTCCCCCTGGTGCTCTGTTTTGTAGTGTGCAATATAGTACAGTCAAAAGAAATTGGATAGGTTTACAGTTATCTAACAAAGCGAATTCCAAGGGAATAAAGGAAATTATTATTGAAAATTAATTTTTTATTTGGAATCTCATCTATTCCTGAAATTAACAGCAGCTTCGAGTAATTTCTCCATAATAAAATTCAATAAATTGTCAAGAAACCTTTCCTAAAAGTCTAATCTACTAGCAGTAGCAAACCCTGAGGGAGACTGAGTTGAAATCAGTTCTTCCCCCTCTGTTTCTTCTCCAAAACTCCCATGCACCACATTGTTCCTACAAGGCCACATGCTTGGAGAAGGTGCTGCAAACTGACTTAACCAGCCTGGTTTTTTTCATAGACCTTATATCCACCAGTACAGACTTGTACCTGCTTTTGTATTCTTACAGCCCAGTTGTTTGGCTGTAAGAATGTAAATTTTGGCTATAATCACTGTAAATTAGCCCAGTGATTTCAGCAAAATAAGGTCTGCCTGCAGGTATAAGTCTCTGTGCAGTTTTCTATCTTCCTTGGAATTTGAATTCTTACAGGTTTTCTCGTACAAGTGCTCGGGGCAATTTTGCTTCTTTGCATTCACATCCAATCAATTCAAGGCATGGAAAGGTCGTTGCTAATGCTAAAACCTGTTCCATAAACCTCCTCCATGGTCTGGTTAGCATTGAACTGCCACTTTGGCAAAGCATAAAAAACTGAGCTGTTCGTGGAAAACACTACAGCAGCACGAACTTCTGTAGTTAGTGTTTCTCTTAACTTCCTCAATTTAATTTAGTATCACAGATGATGTAGTGCCTGTCGCAAGCCTTGACCTTCCTCTCGCGCCACAAGTTGGAAAGTTAATCTGTTAAGAGTCAAAAAGCAAACAGGCAGAATGCAAATATAGTTAAAGTGTTATTGCATATAAGAGCTCGTAAAATCTGGGGGGGTCTCGGTGCTGGGGGTCTGACGAAGGGTCGCACACAGAGCACCCCTTCCCACTGCCATCGCGCCGGGCACTGCCGGGACCGGGACTCGAACCGGTGACGAGAGAGGGCGGGTGTTTGCCCGTGCGCATGCGTACCGCCGCCATGACGGTCACGTGGCCGGCGGGGAGGGTTTGGAGATGCTGCAGCTGCTGGAGAAGCTCCCGGCGGGACGGGCCCCCGAGGTGGGTTCTCCGCGGCCCCGGGCGGGGAGGGCGGTGTTCGCCACGGGAAAGCCCAGGTGCCGCTCCCCGGCACCTGTAAGCGAGACCGGGCCCGCCGGCGGCGCGGGGCTGCCGAGCGGGACCGCCCCCTCCCGCCAGGCCGCGGTGGTGGAGGACGGTGGTTTGGGAGGACGGTGGTTTGGGAGACCAGAGATGCCCACAGGCTTGGAAATCAGCACTTGGAGCTGTGCTGTGCAACCTGGCCATCCCGATGCAGAGGTGACTGAGGTGCCTTTGGCGTGGCAGCTCCGCTGCTCAGCGGTGCTGTGTAGTTGTGCACGCCAGTTACATCCCCATTCAGGGTGAATCTGAATCATGCTGTGATTTCGGGGGCTAAACTTCGTGAATTGACTTCAGGGCAGACGGGGGGACAGTTCGTATTCAGGGACTACCTCTGAAAGACTTTTTAGAATGCTGCATTTAGGAAGCACTGAGGGAGTACCCAGTGGATGGAAGGGTGATAACTGAATTACTTGATCAGTTTTATAGCTGGTAGATTAACTGTGATAGAATTATATTCTCAAGTTATGTATCACATTGTTTCAGTTCCTTCATAAAGTAGTTGATGGCATATGTGGCCGTGCATATCCTCGATACCAAGATTATGGCACCATTTGGAGCTTGTCAGAGTGGATGGAGGTTTTAGAAGAAACAATGGCCTATTTCAAAACTGCAGTTGGCAAAAACATATCTGATGAAGAGGTAAGGGCTCATCACTGGTTGGCTTTTGACTTTGAGAGATCATACTGGAGTGATTAGTTTTGCAGTCTGTTTAGTCCTAAAATATTTTTATAGTGTAGCATTTGAATAGTAGTGGATTAAGCAGAAGATGAGCAGCATTTAGAAATACACTGCTAAGACTTTTAAAACAAAAAGTGAAATTGATGCTGATTTTTGGATATTTGTTAAAATACTGGTTTAATCACTCAAATTCGTATTTTGAGTACCACCAAATTAAATCTGTTTAACTTAAAATATATACCTGTAAATAATACTGTTTTCTAGCAACAAAACCCATTTTCACTCATTTGGCTTTCTTTGTTCATTAGTACTACATTAAAGTGGTTTAAAATGTTGTCTCTATGGTTTTTTAAATCTGACAATGAATGGAGGACCATGTGGTGCAGGGACTATAATTCAGGGTATTCCAGTATGTACAAACTTTGCAAAAACTTGTTCCATTATTAGAAATCTTAATTCTAACTTTTTGCGTATGCCTCACATTTTGACTACCTGCTAGTAGCCAGGTCGAAAACACCTGTGTAGCCATAGGAAGTCCATACATCATGTTTCAGCTGAGCTAATGTATTTGGCCTGCACTCTGATGTTGAGAAACTTTTAGAGTGAAACCTGAGTTATTTGTGTGTGTGATTTTGTTTTGATTTTAGGGTAGCATCTAAGAAGGCCTATAAAGCCTGCATTCTCTGTCATCTTTTAATTTAAGTGAGAAGAATGTTATTTTTTTTTTTATATCTTGCTGTGGTAAGCACTGACTCTTAACTATCAAACACAGAGAGCAGCCACTAAAGGCAGCCCAAGAAAGATGGGGCTATGCAGTCCAGTATAATAGCTGTCAACTTGGATATCTAGAGCACAGCTATTGCAGGTGATACATGTTATTTCTGTGGTTCATGGTTTAAGCAATCACAGTTTTTATTATTTTTGTAGGCTGCTCAGGAGATAAGTGAGTTAAATTCAGACTACCAAGAAGCAATCACAAAATGTCTGAAGGGTAGAAAGGAAGAAATCAGGAATGCCCTAGTGGAAAGCGTAAATGGAATCTCTTCTGCCCAGCTGCAGGATTTTGACTGGCAGTTAAAGGTGAGAGTTGCCTTAATGTTGTTTGAAAAAAATGTTCTATAATGCAGAAGTAACTATTGATGTAGTCCCCCTAGGCCTGCCCCCTCTGGAGTATGGTACAATTTCTATAAGTATGAGAAAAGCTCATTAGTGATAACACATCAAAGACTTGCCAGAAATTTGTATAAACTGCAAAAGTAATTTTTTTTTTCATTTGTTTTATTTTGGTTTTACCCTCCTTTCTTTTAAAGCTGCAATATCTCTGTCTTTCCTAAAGGGACACATTAAGTGCTATTCAGGAACACCTGAAAGTTTTGTATGCTTTTATGACTTTGGGGCCTGAATAAAGTGTATTTTTACTCAAAGGAAGAAGAATTATTTACTTAATTTTAAGATTAACTGAGTGATTCAGGATGATTTTTCCTGACTTTTAAAAAATTTTTAGTTTTTGCAATAAACAATAATTAGTTTGAAATAATTTATGTTTAGACTTACTATTTTTGTGGTAAACCAATGATAATGGTGTTACCTAAAGCAGGATGGTACTTTGAGGTTATGAAGACAACTGGTTTAAATTAAACTCTGTCAAATACTTTAAAAAATTACTTATACTGTTTATATTTTTAGTTAGTTCATGAGAACTGTTAAACAGAGTTGTAGAACTGTTAAATACTTTTCCATGTTAACAAGAGTGTTAAATAGTTTTGGCAGCGAACAGCCTTGGAAATCAAAGAGTAATGCCCAAAACAGACAAGTTTTTGCAGGAGCCAATATGGCATCATAACATGCTTTGGATGAACTGTTACTGGGGTTGATCTCTTGCCAACTGCATTTACTGCTGACAGGAATACAAACTAGACTTATGTGAATTCTTGGGGTTTTTTTGTGACTTGTTTTAATTTTTTCTTCTGAAGGATTTTTTGAGTTTCTTTCTATTTTGCAATGCAAATTTCTGGTATGTGTCTGAACTACTATTTTTATTTTTCTTAAAACCACTTTTTTTCCCCCCTTGATGTGATTATGATTTTTTTTGCTTGCCATGTTTGAACTGTACCAAAGACATTTTGTCTTCTCTGCTGTATCACATTCTGTTCTCTAAATAGATAAGATAGTATCTTATACTATCTTATAGTATATATAGTATATATATATATACTATAAGATAGTATCTATTATATATAGACCTATAGTATTATCATCTGATCTTTGTTTTTAATACATTTTAAAAGCCTTATCTGTGCTAGAGTGGGTATAATAGAAAAAAAAAAGAAAGCACAATTGGTATATAGTCCTCTTCATCAGTGTTTGTTAAATAGGATCTCTGACAAACAGTGTTTAATCAGCTGTAGAGAGTGTTGAAAAATGCATGAAAGTGCCCTCTTTCTCCTAACTGCCCCATTCTGTATGACCCTTCTTGTTGAAAACCAAAACAATTTGAGTACTGGTATTTCAGAATTCATATACTTCATTAAAGAGCCATGATGAAATGTATCCTTTCTTTTTACCTGTATTTTCAAAATTGTCAGCCCAGTAATTTTAACAAATTGTTTTTGAGAAGTGTATTGCTGTGAAGAGGGTTTTTTTAGTATTTGAATATGTTGTTGGTATTAACAAACAAACAAAAGTCCCAATAACAGGGAGGAGGAAGAAAAATCCAAACTGCTGAGATGACTTGTGAGAAGTTCATTTTGTTATGCTGATACTTGTTCTGGTAGCACAAATTGAATTTAAAGTGCAGATGTGTTATTATGAAAGACTAAAAACTTACTGGCTCCACCTTACACTTTATTGTTGTTTTGTCAATCTGCATAGCTTGCTCTCTCCAGTGACAAGATCTCCATGCTGCAAATGCCACTCCTCAATCTTGATTTGGATGTGAGAGAAAATGGTGAAATTAAGCCAATTTCTATAGAGATGAATAAGGAAGAGTTGCAGAACCTAATAAATGCACTGGAAGCTGCTAATAAGGTAGCTTTTACTGATATAATTGTTTGTTCCTGACTTCTCATGTACTGAGTTTATTTTAAGCAAAATTCGCAGAATCGTAGAATAGTTTGGGTTGGAAGGGACCTAGAAAGGTTGTCTTGTCTGACCTCCCTGCAGTGAACAGAATAGTTTGGGTTGGAAGGGACCTAGAAAGGTTGTCTTGTCTGACCTCTCTGCAGTGAACAGGGACATTGTCGACTAGATGCAGGGGTGGGGCATCCACCACCTCTCTGGGCAATCTGTTCCAGTGTTTCACCACCTCCATTGTAAAAAATTTCTTCCTAGTATCTAGTCTAACTCTACTTTTAGTTTAATACCATCACCCCTTTCCTATTCTGAAAGATTAGCAAGGATTCTAGTGTTCCCTCAACTTCGTAAATTGTCAGTGTCTGGGTGTGCATATGGGACAATTTTTTGGTTCACAGTGAGTCCTTTAATTTCTATGACATAGTAAATCAGGAAGAAAGTTACAAAGATTCCAATACAGTAACCCAAGAAGAAAATTTCAAGTGAAACAATAAGGTTTCACTTAAACTGATCTGTGACACTGGAGAATCTCAAGATTTCTTAATAGGAAAGACTAAGGAAAAATGAGGATTTGAAGAAAATAGTGTTCTAATGAAATTACAGCCCTTAACAGCTTTCAAAGCTTGCTTTCTTCTGCATTTGCTTTCCTATTAAACTACACAGTAGCTTGTCATGAGCTCTGCACTATGCAAAGAAGGATTTTACCATGACAGATTTAGATCCCCACAAGGTATGGGATGTTATCATCTCCTTACTTAGTTTTATGTGCACAGAAGGAGGAATCCACTTCAGAAATGGTCCCTGATCTCTGCTTTGTGCAGAAGGAATCTCACTGGACCTGGACATTGCTATTCTACTTTGTGACTACAGGCAGCTGAGGAATGGATTGTGTGCAGGAAAGGGCAAAGAAAGTTATTGGAAGTGATAGTTGTGTGAGGTTGTAAAAGAGAGCTGAGAGAAGGGATGGTGTGCTTTTCAGAGCGAAGACATGGTTATTCAGTAGTATATTACACTGAAACAGAAAGCAAAAAACTGCATTTCATAGACTGGTTAAGTTTTGGTTTTATCCAACTTTAATCTCATTCCTTTTCTTTTTTTTTAAAGGTTGTCCTACAACTGAAATGATGGAATTCAGATCATCAACAGTATCTGCTGGTGATGGCTCACCCAGTTGATTTGGAGGGAAAAAAATGTATTCTCTGCAAAGCGAAAAGTTGTTGGTGCTGTGAGAAGGCTGTTATGACTTATGACCAAATAAACTACTAATCCTTTGATAAAAGTAGTAAAATCTTGTATCTGTTTGATCAAAAATATGAAAATCCAATGTACAGTTGCTTTAGTACTGAAGATTTATAGACCTTTGGAAGAGAATCACTTTTGGCGTGTGCCATATTTGTTTTGGTTAAACTTTGACAGTGATCACGCAGGTGCCTAGTAAAACTAAAGCATCTTAATTGTGTACTGTGTTACCTTATCTGAAGTGCCATGATAATAACATGAGAGTATTTGTAGCATTAATATATTTATATTGTAAATATGGTAAATAAAGACCTGCTTTTGTGTATGAATAATTGCAGTAATTTTTTTCTTGATTTATTAGTCACTAAACTCAATCTTTCTATATGCTGGGGAAAATCACCTTAAGAACAAACTCAGTATAGAACCACAGAATAGTTGAGATAGGAAGTGAACTCTGAGGGTCATCTTGCCCAGCTTTGCTACTCAAGCAGGGTCATCTAGAGCAGGCTGTGCAGGATTGTGTCCAGATGACTTTTGATTGTTTCCCAAGGATGGAGACATCAGAACCTCTCTAGGCATCCTGTTCAGTGCTCAGAAGTTGTGGAGAAAGCACTGGATCTTTATTTGGAGTAAAGTGTGGGGTTTTAGCTTTGTTTTTGTATCTTAGTTGATGGCATTTCGCTTAATGTGTCATTCACAAAGACTAAGGCTGTGACTAAGGGGGAATCGGGAAAATCTTCTGAAGGCATAGGAAGGCTTAGGCCGAAGGTGCAGGAGTTTAAAGAGACCCCATTAGATTAAATAGTTTTTAATTTTGGCTTTGCTTATCTGCTCACTTTGCCCATATCTGTATTGTCCTATGTTCTTTCAGGCCTAAGGTCTTTCTAATTAACTGACTACGGTGCGTGGAATAGCTTTGGTGTTTGCACATTACACTGCACTAACTTGTAAAGATTGTTCCCAGGAGATGCTTCCCCTTCATCCTGTTTCAGGGACACGGGTTCATATTCTCCCAATGTTTACCCTGCAGAGCAGCTCACTTCTGGGTCCTGCAGTCATATGGGCAAAAAAATCCCAACGAGCCATCATGAGCATGTTTAAGAAATCTCTGTGGTTTTGCAGGTACTGTGTACAGACCTCCTAAGTATGTAATTTGCACCACAAACAAAACTTTGCACACATGGCTTTTTGAAACAAAATTTCACCATGTAAAAAGCACCTACAGAAATTCACATTGCATAAGCGACCTGCGATTTGCATCACAAAATGCAGCATATACAAAATATAAAAGTGAATTTTAAAAATAATGTTACTTGCCCTCCACTGGCATTCATTGCACTTTTGTCTCATAGAAATCTTCCCTTGATTTCACAAAAACTATGTTTTTCATGATCAACCATTTCAGCTTTTATCTTGGTATGCTAAAGGGAATCAGAACTGGATCTTAATGACAAACTTTCGGCATAGAGTTGACTATTGTTATAAAACTGCTTTATCAACAAAGCAGTTGATAAAGTATGCTAAGAAGCTGTGTTTTTCAAAGATGTATATAAGCCTATAGAACATTTCTGAGTTCTGGAGCAAGCCTTTCTGATAAGAAACATGGTGAAACTTTCTTGTGCTTTTTTCTGAAAGGTGGTTTTAGGAACCAGTAAACACCCTGTCATGAAGTATGAACATTTTGCTACCATTTTGAGTTGTGAATTAATATTTATAATGCAATATCAGCAATAAAGGGATTTTTACTCTTTTTGTTATGCTTTCATAAGTGCATCAAGGTAGTCTATAATTTTTTTTACCTCTTTGATTACATTTGATGGCATACTGCTCTTTCCTCTGTGAAATTATAGTCCATACTTGCTTCAGGACTTCTCCTGAAAGACCAAAAGACCATTACCAAAACCTAGAAAAGCAGGCAAATCCTTTGGACTTTTGCAGGCCTGTGTGGTTTGGATCATGAGATTTGGATCAGAGGACCTCTGTGGAGAGGTCATCACAGGAGAAGAACCTGGTGTTTTAAGCTGGTTTGTGGATAATATACTGGATATTCAACCCTTCACATTGTCTGGGGCTGGAAATTTTGCTCAAAAGTATTCTTCACATGTGCCAGCACCACCAGGAGTACTATATAGAGAAGACTCTGGCTATTTTTAAGCATCGAGTTAGTCAGCTAGTTTAGCTGATAGTCTAATGAAAGGCACTGGAAGTTGTGGAGATTTTTCTAGCTAGGAACTACTACAGGTCCATGCAGACAGCTTTGGCAGTGGACTCTGTGAGGAAGGATTCCTAGCATAATATAGATTAAAAATATTTTTTGATGACTACAGTAAAAGAATATTTTTTTTTTCTTGGGAATGTAGGGGTTTCACATCTGCCATATTTCTGTTGATATTGATTTAGATGGGAACCAGAGCAACACTGAATGATCTGATGAGAACTGCTACTAACTTCCTTGGTAAAACCCGATCTTGAATTCTTTACCTATGCCGAAGTCTCATTCAACTCTCTCTTGAAATGATGATTTACCAGCTTTGTTTCAGAAATGTTTGCTACAGTATAAAACATTCAAAGTTTCCTCTGAAAATCTGAAAAAAGTCAGGTAGTATCTTGTCAGCCAGATCGAAACAGGAAATGATGTTTCAGAGATGGGAACAAGGAAACCAGTGTGTTCACAGATGTGAATGAGGTGGAGCAGACAATATAATTAGGGTTAACTCTGGATTCCCAAACAGTAAGTAGACCAGTCACCAGGTCTTCCTTTAAGATATACTAGGTTTTCTATTTGTCTCTTAGTTCTTTTCCCCTGTGCATATACATTTCGGGATCATTATATGTTGAAATTCAGTATTCTTCTGTGATCTCCTGCCTTCTTTGGGGTGCAGGGTGCTTGTTTGCCCATGGGGGTAGGAAGACAATCACAGATGTGAGGGGGGTTATGCTTTGTAACACAGAAACAATGAAAAAAGTATTTTTTTTATATAACACATAAAACCCAGTCCTTTTTTTTTTTTTTTGCTAATACTCCCAAGGCAATGTTAGCAATGCATCCTCAATATGTGAGAATTGATGGGAATAGGCAGAGGTTCATAGGTGATGGGAAACAGAAGCAGCTGGTGGAACATGTCCCCCATCCCTGTGTGACTTTCTTCATGATGTATCTCAAGAAATCCTTCACTTGCAGTACAGGGGGATGGAACGAGGTGAATCGGTAGATAAGTCTGAAATGGCCACCTCTGTGCTGTTCAGTGGTAGCATGAAGCGATGTAATGTTGCCAAAAGTATTCCTGTTATATTTAAAATACTGGGTTTTTGTGACTATTAGCATTAGGGTTCATCAAGTTCCTTTCTGCTAGAGAAGAGTGGTGGCTTAAGGTGAGCCTTGTCCTCTGCTATAAGCTAGCTACTTTGTTGAAACTTGTAGGAATGTCGTGTCTCATAGGTCCTTACTGTTCTGTTATCTTTTGGTTGAAATTATGAATGGATTTGTATGTTATTGGGACACTCACAGGTAGGCACACAAATATACACACTCAGGGACAATAAAGCTCAAGTCCTTGGGAAACAGCCAAAAAGGACTTCCAGTTCAAATTGAATGAGAGCTGCACAAACTGTACCGGGATTTAGCTGAAACATAATTAGCAATAGGACCTTACTTATGCTGATCTTGAAGGCTGGTTCCTAGGGACAAGGAAATTAACTACTGAAGTACAACTGTGAGGGAGTTTAGCATTACAGCATTATTCACCTTTATTGTGCAAAACCAGCCGAATTACTCCAACCTATTGATGGGAAGAGATTGTTTCTTTTGTACTCACTAATTTCTAGCTCCAGATGGCAATGTACATGGGTAACCCATAAACAGACTCATTTTCCATCCTGTGCCTCTAATAACCACTGCATTCTCCTTGCTGCCAAGCTATTGCTCTCAAGTGAGAAATGTTTTCTTCTGCTTTTTTTTCTAGAAGTTGTTGTACCTACAGTTAGTGGCTCTTGCTTCTGTATGTGGGGGAGTCACTTAATCTCTGCTGCCAAACTTTGCACCAAGAGCTGGCAGGGGTTTCCTGATTAAATTTAATTCCTAATTAAAAAAAAATTAACTGATAATAGTTTCAATAAATTGCTATGTTAGACAGCAGTGTAAACACTGTTAGGAAACAATTGGCCATAGAGAAGATGACTGACCTATTGCTTCTCAGTTGCATGGACCTTGCTAGAACTTTACCTGTGGCTCCTTTGCTGGAATTGGCTGTGCTAGGCAAAAAGCAGCCAAGTGCAGAGAGGCAGCTCCTCAAAAGGAGTGCACCCAGCATCACTGGTGTGCCAAAAGACTCAGACACATCTCCTGATCCTCAGTGGAGTAAGGAAATCTGTAGGAAACTATATGCAGAAATCTCCTCAGATCTGTTCCTAGACATCTGCCAACTTAGTTTTGGGTTTGATTTCCCCTTAGAGCACTGTCTTAATAACACCAAGGTCATGGGTTCGATCCCCATAGGGGCCATTCACTTTAAGAGTTGGACTCAATGATCCTTATGGGCCCCTTCCAACTTGGAATACTCTGTGTGATTTTGTGTGTAACTTTTGGGAGAATGTTGCAATTACCAGCCACAGGAGACCTGAGAGTCAAGAAAAGTCTTGGCCTGGGGTATGTCTCAGAATTGCTTCCAGGAATGAACATGTGCTTATTTTCTACTTTTTCATACAAAATTGCATGTGGCACAATTGTTCTCATAAATTTCAACTTTATTACTTTGTGTCCAGTTAGATCAAATCAGCTGATTCCTTGCTTGGAAATTCAGTGGAATTTCTCTACTACCCTTT